CTGGCGGGGAGTACCATACCAAGATTTCAGTCGCCTAGCTTTTGTGGTTCCCGAGTTGGAAGTGCGAGGCAAAATGATACACACACACAGACAACCTCGTGACAATATGCGTTTTGTAATGCTGTTACACAGCACAAAACGCATAAAAAACGAAGTGGGAAAGGAAAATGGGAATATGGGACTATTTGTAATAGGTAAAAAATGTTTCGGTCCATTAAGTCGTATACATTTCTTATCGTTAACTATTGCTGACTAGGCACCAAATACAGTAACGAAATTGAAATTTTGTTCCAGGCTCTGTGATGTATTTTGAGCAGGGAAGGAGGAAACGCAAAAGCTAGTTTTTCCTGCCTTTTTTGTCAATAAATTTTTTTGTTAATTTTATCAGTTTTTTTGTCAATTTTCGAAAATTTCAGGCAACAGCAGAGGAACAAAGTGAACATGATGCTGCTGCTATTTTCTCGGAGGCAACGCATGCAACAAATGTTTCGGATACCTCAACAATTAACCCAATAAAATGCCGATCTGCAGGTCGTATGTCGATTATGCCGAAGGTTTGTTTTTGGTTTAGAAAAAAGAGATAATTCTAATAATCACGAATTTCGGGTGGCGGTGGAGAAAAACTGTACATTTCTGTACATTTTTAGACGTCTGATTTCCTGTACTTTCATCACATTAGCCATGAAAATAATAAGCTAGGAACGGTAAGTTGGGGAGTTCGATTTTTTGGCAAAGTTCCAAAATGCCGAGGATCTCTGGAACCAGTAAAATTCTTGCGAAAACTTTCTTCTCTGATCAAAAATTTCGAGGATAGGCAAGAATATGCTGCGAGAATCGCAAAAAACCTAAGGCAGCTACAAAATAATGGAGCTTTTTCAGCACAAAAAAAATGTTATTTCGCCAAATAAAATAAGCCTATGGCAAATTTCAACCAATTATGTGTGTACCGATGTCTTTTTTCGGTGAATTCTCCTTGTTTCAGATAGCGAAGTTAGGCAGTATTAAAGTAATAACGTACGATGATACTTATGAGGCAACGAAATGGGGCCAACCAGATGATTTCTATCTCTTTGATAGAGTAAGCCTCACACTGATATTTACGTACACTTCCCCAAACTTCTCAGATTTATGTGGCGGATTAGCTGAATTCCCATAGTC